CAACATTGAACAAATGAAAATTTTTGAAGCCGAGTCCTCCTTCCTCCTTCGGTTTTTCCAGGACTTTGGCATCACACCAATGTAAAGATTTTCTCCTCATCGATCCGGACCAGAAAAATCTTTTTTTCAACACCGAATCCATCTTGTTGGTGAGGGAGCGAGGCAGGAGAAAGACACTCATCAGGTAGGTCGGGATTGCCTGAATCACTGCCTTCAGAAGTACTTCCTTTCCGCCCGGTGATAAAAGTAAACTCTTCCAAGATTCCCCCTTTTTCTCCATTCTTTCCAGTAAGAACAGAAAAGTTTCTTTCTTTGAACGCCCCCAACTTGTAGGAACACCTAGATACTTGTCGTGGCAAATAGAAGGTGGAAATCCCAATTTATTTGTGATAATGCTTTTGAGCGCTTCCGGGGTGTTCTTACTGAAGAAAACTGAAGATTTATCAACATTGATCCTTTGTCCTGTAATTCCGCCATACTTCTTTAAGATGCTTTGAATGTGATCCACTTCCCTCACACTTGCTTTCCCAAAGATAACCGTATCATCTGCAAATAAGCAATGGGAGATCCGAGGGCAATTCGAATTAAGCTTGATTCCCTGAATTTCCCCTTTCTCAACAGCCTTGTCGATCAAGAAAGACAAAGCATTCGACATGAGAATGAACAGGAAGGGCGAAATCAGATCTCCTTGTCGAATGCCTCGAGAGGGGTAAAACTTCTCCGTAGGACTTCCATTGAGCAAGATCGAGAAGCTAACAGCCTGAACTATACACCAAAGTAACGAAATTAGCCAAACCAGAAAATTGACCGTTATCTAGAATGGTCAAACGCATTGACTAACGGTCAACGTGCCATGTCACCGCCAAGTCAGCACCTTTCACTTAATTTTTTTTATATTTTCCACCTATTATTATTTATATTTTTCATTTTGAATCCAAGAAAAATTGAAAAATGAATTTTGTGTCCAGAAATTCGTTTTTCAATTTTTTTTGGATTCAAAATGAAAAAATTAATAGTAATAGGTAGAAAATATTAAAAAAAATTAAGTGAAAGGTGCTGACTTGGCAGTGACATGGCGTGTTTGGTTTGACCGTCCAAGATAATCGTCAATTTTCGGGTTTGGCCAATTTTGTTACTTTGGTGTATAGTTCAGGCCATGATATTATAGATTGAAAAGATTTGCCAGGATTTTTATTATGTGAAAAGTTGAGGCCATACAAATATATTAATTTTTTTTATAAGGGTGAAATTCATCATTATTAAAGTTACCGGAAAAAAAAAACAGAAGGAAAAGGTAGAGAAGTGGAAAATTTCAGAAAAAGGTCTGAATACTGGCCAATGCCAATCTAATTCTACAACCCAAGGCAATAGGTCCTCCTGACTTCTCAAATTGAGGATTCAAGTGAGGCAGCAGCAGTAGGACAAATTATTCCTTCCTACTGAACTAAGGGATGTCATCTTTAGAACTATTGCACAAGCATCCTTCTAAAAAAAACTCTCATTTAATCTCTGCATCCAATCGTCTACAACCTGCCTATCGATCTTCCCCGCCACGGTAAGCCATGATGCAATGAGCTTACCTATCCTGTATGATACGATTTGTGGGGTTGTACACCTGTCATCGAAGATCCTGCAATTCCTTTCCTTCCAAACACACCACAACAATGCGTGCTACAATGATGTCGTACACCAATCCTTAGGTCCTTGCGGGTGCACCGGTGTCCACCTCTTTATCACTTGTGTTAACTCCATATTTGTATACCTGATGTTGAAATAAACAAACTTTCCAATGATTCTCCAAACTTGCATTGTGAATTTGCACATCAGGAACAAGTGGTTCGGGTCTTCCTCGCTATTATTTCAAAGTGTTTTTAGTGCATCTTGTGTGAGAACTCTCCTGTGATAAGCCAACCATACAAATAAACAAATTTTGGATGGGATGTGACTCGATCTGCCAGATGATTCTATAGGGGAAGTCACCCGACGCACCAACTGTGGAATCATCTGCAAGTTCATTATGAGTTGCTGTTACAAAGATTAATTTGACAGTGAAACCACTCGATAAGCTTAGTAGCCACTCTATCTTGTCTTGTCATGTTGTCAACAATGGAAAATTATTTGTGATGAATGCACAAAACCTCTCCCTTTCCCTCTCAGTTCACACCCTCAAAGTAAATTTTAAAGGAATATGCCAAGAAAAACTCTCATTCTCTCTTAAAAGGATATCAGGTAGTGTAGCTTGTGGATTCTCAGCGGCCGCGGCAACTACTCTAGGGAACTCGGCAACAAGGGTAACTTCTTTAATCCACCGGTCATTCCAGAAGGAAATACCTTCCCCTAAGCTTCCAGGTTTGATAATTGCGTGCTTCCGAAAGATATCCTTCATTTGATAATTCTACGACCATGGGCTAAAGCCAGCCGAAGTAAAAGGTTTACCCGACATCCACTTCGAATCATCATTTGGATATTTACATTCATCAATCTCGTCCACCAACTAACATCATTTGCAAACTTCCACCACCATTTTGATAATAAAGCAAAATTATGTCTACGCATATCCTGGATGCCAAGGCCACCCATCTTCTTGGGTCTCTTACTTACAGTGTTCCCAAGACACCAAATGGAACTTCTTATTTTCTTGAGTACCTGACCAGATGAAGGAACACCCAAATACACATATTATTATGAAAACTTCTCAAAATACAATAATTTTCTAAGAAATTTTCAAACTATACATCTTTTTGGACAAATTTCATATTTAAGCGATTTGATGTTGATCACTTGATACTTCAGCAAGACATGACAGATCTCACATTTATCGTTCGGGATCTCAACAATCTATGACAGATTGCTTAAGATCTGCACTCACAAGCCACCTTGCTAGTTGCTAAAAAGTATACAATCCCAAACTCACAACTTCTACCTCTCGACGATACCATACATCCAATAAATATTTGTTAAAATGGCACATTTTTGTCAAAACATGGCCAGTGAAAATACTTAAAAAAAACATTATCTGCCTCAATTAGAGCAAAGTGGAATCTTGTTAAGAAATAAATTTTATAATATCATATTTAAACTTCAATATATTCGCTTCTATATATCAAAACGGGATAACTATATAAGTACCAGACAACCAACATGGTCAATCTTAATTATGACATAGCTAATATTCGAGCTAAGTGAAATATCGGTTAGAAATTAATTTATGACATCGTATTTAATTTTCAAATGTATTTGTTGAATAGCAATCATGAGAACAACATCTTCTTAAAGAAGAAGTGGCAAATTTTCCGTTGAATCAAATTAACAAAACGACTCTATGAAGTATAATTTTCGAACAGCATTAAAAGTGACAATTTTTCTCCTTTTCTCCAACTTTCCTACTTCTTTTTATATTTTATCCTCTCTTTCTTTTGGGGAAACAACGTTGCTTGGTTTCCAAGCAACTGGGGTTCTCTCATCCAAAAGAGCTTCCCAAAAACTATAAATAGGGCTCTACCCGCCACTCAAGATACATTGTCTCTAGCATATATACCACTTGACTTGAGATAAACTCCTCTCTTTTCCCTTTGAAATAAATTGGAGAGGAGTAGGGTCCGTAAGATGTGCAGGACTGTTGATGATGTCAAGGTAATTAAAGGTTATCAATAAATCGCTTCACTACATAGATGTGGAAGTACAGGGGTCGAGACCAGCAGGGAAGTGGAGGCTTACGGGTCTCACATTTACTCGGGATAACAGGAGAGTGGATGAGGGATTTTCGGAAGAACGGCTTGGCTTGATCGGATGGTAGCAACAGCAAGTTGGAAAAATGTGTTCCCTGAAGCATTAGTCTACCATCTAAATAGGAATATATCCCGGACAACCTCAAAACTTTGGGTTCAATAAATGTTCAATCCGTCATTATCCCGAACAGCTTGATTGCATTGCCAGAAAATGTCTAACTTTTTATATTCCGGACAACCTCGTTAGCTATGCCCTCAATATATGTTCAACATATTATACCCCGAACAATTTGATTGCATCATAATTCAATTTGTTTAGCATGTTATACTCCGAACAACTTGAATGCTCTTTTATACCACCTTTCAACTTGTTTAGCTCGTTTTATCCCAAAGAACTTGAATACATCATTCATTACCATTATAATCAATAACCCTTACACGGCTACACTGCGAGGGGAACAAATTAGTACCCACATCTAGGCTACACTACCAGGGAGCTAATCAGTACCCATGACACGACTACACTGCTAGGAAACCAATTAGCTCTTACAAGCCGGCTACACCTACACTGCAAGGGAGCTAATTAGGACCTACTAGACGGCTACATTGCACGGGAAACAAATTAGTAACCACATCTAGGCTACACTGCCAGGGAACTAATCAGTATCAACGACACGGCTACATTACGAAAGAAACTAATCAACACCCATATCATGGCTACATCACATGGGAGCTAATCAATTACCTCAATCTTCAAAACTTCAAGAGAGTTGGTGAATGCACCAAAACATAAATATCGGACAAAAATGGTATGCTAGGATAACTTTGTATACCTCTAAAATACCAAGAGATATACAAAGGGGGGCAACTGTAAACACCACTTTTTGTCCGGGCTAAAACATATATAATTAAATAAAATTAGTTTTTTGTTTAAGATTTGCAATAGCGAATCTTAAATGACCTTTCAGGTAAAACATATTTTTAGCGTTTGGATTAGGGGTGGTAAATGGTGGAACGGTGGAACGGTTTAACCGGTTACCGTACCGGTAACGGTGGTTACCGATTAACCCGTTAACCGTTCCATACGGTATTCGGCGACTGGACTCTGGCTTGCGGTATACCGAGTTATGGACGGTAAAATACCGTTGGCTTAACGGTTTTCCGATACCGAAGAGGAGAAGGCATCGAGCCATCAACCAAACCTCGACCGCCGAAAGTAATTAACTAATAACCTATTAACCTAGTCCTAATAGTATTATACAACTAAATTCAAGCGCTTCTTCGAATCCCCTGCTGCACGAGCAAGAGGAGTCACACCGCCGATCCCTCGTCCATTCATCCAACCAAAAGCCGTCGATCAAAACCAGAGGATTCTTCGTCGTCTCCGTAGCCGGCGCAAGCCCCTTCCAAGAGCCACACGGCCCAGCAACACAGGGGGCCTCATACTCTCCCGCTCTCCGCCAGGCTCTGTTCCCTTCGAACCCCGTCGCCGTTCGGTCGGAGCTTAGTCCCACGACCACACAGCCCGGCAGACAGCAGTTCATCATTAGTCTCACCGTCGATTTGATTTGAGGTAACTTACTAATTTTTGTAGACGAGTTTCATTGTTTCATAATCGTTTTATAATCCATACTTTCATTCGTTCATAATCAATTAATCAACAAGTTTAGCCACCGAGTTCTTTGTGCTATTGTGTGGTTATTTCACTATTTTTATTTGACATTTGTCGTAGCCGCTAAGCAGAGAAGCACATGCCCCACATAGTGACAAGACACAAGAGTACAAGACTATACTACAAGTCTACAGGACAATCAATGACTCAATGAGACCCTGTTTATTTTATTTCCATCCACTTTGCACTAGGCAAGTCACAAGAGTGAAGACCCACGGCCACGTGATTGAAAGTTGAAACAGCACGCAGACTATACAACTGTCCAAGTCAGGTCACAAGTGTTTATTACTTTATTTCCATCCACTTTAATTCCCCCACAGCAAACTACATGGCGGAACTCGGTAGACCGTTTCCCTTATCGAAACCGTTCCCATCGGCAAACGGTTTACCGAATCTTCTTGGTATCGGCTAATGGAAGCGGCATGGAGAATTCCGGTATACCGGAAACCGGTCAAACGGTAACCGGTTATACCGGTTACCGACCGTTTACCACCCCTAGTTTGGATTGAGTCTTGTTTGCCATAACTCAATGAGATTAGCAATAGCAAATCTTATTTGGTATAATGCGATTAGCAATAGCAAATCATGGTACAATTTGATAGTGTTGACTTGCTTCGATTAGACAATCAAGCATTGTGGTCGTCGTGTGGGATGATCATATAATTGGCGATAAGACTTCGGAGCTTCCGATGATTTGGCCTTAATTTTGAACAATAAAAAATAAGTCAAATTAAGAAAAATAAATAAGCATCGTATTCAACTTAATTGAAATAAAATCAAACATAAATAAATTTACATAATGACTGTTAAGTAGTTATTACATTAAATTTACAAGCGCAACACAACAATAAAATAGATTTAGGCCCAAATCAAATCCCAAAGTCAAAGAGTCAATTCAGTCAACAAAAGTCAATCTTAATCAACCCGGTTAGGTCTGACCTGACCCAACCCGGTACTGTAGCAAGCTTGCTCTCCAAGCTGCTTGTTATATAAAATTAAAAGGCTTCTGCTGCCTTCCTCTTCGGTTTTTCAGCACACACGAGGCACATAGAAGAAAGAAAAAACAACGGAAGGAGGCCTATCCATTTCCCTTGTTCTTCCTCAACCTCGCCTCTTCTACTTCATCCAAACGGAAAAAGACAGAGGAAAGGAGAGCTCCTTCTTCCTCTTTTCTTCTTTACACAGACGAAATTCTGCCAAAACAGAGATGGACTGGGCTTTTCTTCTTTTTCCACTTCTTCTTCCTCTTTTCTTCTTCATCCATACGAAAACTGCCAAAAAAGAAAACAGAGAAAGCAGCCCAAACACAAAAAGAAAAGAACAAACACAACAACAAAGACAAAAATTAGGTAGTAAGTAGTAACTAAGGAGTCCATCAGCTACAAGGGAAAGGGAAAGGACAGCAAAAGCTAATCGAGGAGACTTCATCAAAGGCCAGAGTTATCCCCAAGCAAAAGGAAAAGGTTGGTTATCCAATCATTATCATTATCTATCTAAAACCACCAACTTCTTTCTATAAACCCAAGTTTAAAACAAAGATACTAATAGTTGCAAATGCTTCCCAAAAGATTTGTTCAGATTTATTATTTTGTTTGGAACTCTGACATCAGCTTTCTCTTCATCATATTCTTATTCACTTTAATTACCGGATTCATATCTAAACCCACTTTACCACAGCTTAATCTCAAGCAAAAACTATCAACAACAAACTCGCCAAATCCAAATCACGGGACATCAATCAGTTCCTAATTCCCCTAAATACACCAAAGCGGAGCAGTTATGTTTAATATGAGTTTTGTAACTATAAACACACAAATCTCTATATTAGAACCTACCATGATAAACACATACATTTCCAGATTCAACCACCATTAGAAGACTCATGTCCAAACACAGCAAAACCCAGATTTCACCCATCACAAACTACAAAAAAGAAAACAAATTTGACACTAAATCAACGAAAGACGAAGTAAGCATAAGCGATAGCAATATTTATAGTCACTTGATATGTAAACCTATTAACTCATGACTTTTCATTGTTTTAATCCCTTAGTTTGAAACCTTAACAGAAATATTAGTTTGGCGGTTGAAACCATCAAAACCAACCGAACTTTTTTCCAAAAAAATAACATAACAGAGCCGTGAAAGTTTCTGACTTCTAAAATACAATCCCAACTTCATTATCAAGTTCACATCTAAATCCACCAAGTTATCAGAACACAGATTCAACATAATGACAGAACAAATGAAACTAATAACTTGCTTAAGGGTTTTCCCTATACATCTAAGCCCAAACCTTTTCCTTTCGAAAATACACTGAAAACCAACACTGAAACCACAAAACGCCCCATTTAACACGCTTCTAGTGTGTGATCGTGCTGTCCTCTGTTTTGGTTTTTCATGAGGAAAGTCAGTTTGGAAGTTTGACCACTTATAGGTGAAACTCTTACCTCCTGAACACACATTACCTTTTTCCAGAAATCACCACAAACAAAACGCAAATTTCTAGTTTCGAACACATAAGCATCGACAAATTTCCAGAACCAAAATACAGTAAAATCCTTAAATTTCCTACTTCTTACTCGAACTATTCCAAAACAGAATTAACAAGATTTCAAAGCAGACCAAAATGAAAAGGAAAGGGAATTAACTCTACTCAACTGCCGCCGGCGCTGCTGCCTTCGACGGCGGTGTCGCTTGTTACAATCACTCACCGCCGGCAGCCTTCTTCCTCCTTTCGTACCCACTGCTCCTTTTTCCCTCACCATGATCAAAACCCAAACAAAAAAATGAACCAATACAAAGCACCAAAGCCCCAGGTCAGAATCCCATTTTGTTGAAAAAGGAACAGAAAAAAATAAATCAAAATCTAAAGGTCAGAATCCATCGATCTTACCATCACATTCACACTCATCGGCGTCCGTTATAGCCGCGTTCGTTCCCCTTCTCTTCCCTTGAGATCCGAATTCATGCTTCCCTCATCCCGATCGAAAACCTAAAAGAAAGAACCAAAGTAAAAATCGGATAATCAAACCCTAAAAAATAACATGCAAGAACTCACTCACCGTCGCCGTTTCTCGGAGCCGCCGCGGCTGCATCTTACGGTCGGCGATCAGGCTTATCGAGGGAGGAGAAAAAGATCGAGGAAATGGGAGGTTTTGCTTGTTTTGGTCGATTTCTTAGTAGGGAGATCGAGGGGAAGAAGAGAGGGGAGGAGAGGAAGAGTGCAGTAACCACAACGAGGTACGAACCCATGCAACCCAAATCCCAAACGACAACAGTTGACGCGTTCAGCCACTAGGCTACTTCACTGAAATTCTGTCGCACACTTCTCCAATTGATCTATTTAAGAGGAAAAAATCCCAGAATACTCTAATTATTAAAAAAATTCCCTAAATACAGTACTTATAAATTTATTTCCCAAAATACAGCAGTTTCAACATCACTGTTGTAGACTAAGATAGTGATTGCAATCACAGCTTTTGTTTAAAACGGTGAGAGCATCACCGCTTTTAACAACAACAGTGATGCTATCATCGTTTTGGACAAAAACGGTGATGCCATAGGCGGAGCTAGGCCGTTTTGGCCTTGTCCCGGGACAGGGGTAATATTTGGTAGAGAAAAAAAATACCACCCTACAAGTAACATAAGGATGTTTTGTCAACTATATCACAACTCATTACTTGTTCATTAATTGCTAAAAATTAGTCAATTGATTCCATTCATGACACTATTATTCGATAACAGCTTGTACATGATGAATTATCTCGAGCAATGATGGAGATGAAAGGTTATAAGTCATATATCCGTAAGTTCATTTGCTTATGAAACTAGAAAGAGCATTTTTAGCTTCAGCTGTATTAAGAACAACTTCAAAGTTGGATTGACGATCAGTTAGCTATGATTATTTAATGGGATACACTGAAAGAGACTTACTTAAAAGTGTACACAACGAATGTATTTTGCATTTGTTTCGGAATACGAAAACTCGCCGTGGTTGTTTATGCAAAATATAATTGTATTAGTTGATTGTTTCTTTATCTGTGAATGAATAATATGAATATTATTATTTTTAATTATTTTTATTAAATTTTTATTAATTATATATTTATATTTAAAAAAAGGACAGGGGTAGTTTCTAATCCTGCCTCCGCCAGTGGGTGATGCAATCCCCGCTCTTGTTAAAAGTGGTGATTATGTGACCGTTGATTTGAGAAACGGTGAAGTCACTATCACCGTTGATGGGGAAAACGGTGAATTGGGCGCAGATCGCTGACATGCTCGCGCGCGGGCACTTCGCCGCCAAAGAGAAAAGCGGTGATAGCCCGGCCCCGCCACGTCATCAATCCGCGTCGTCCGCGCCCTTCACCGCTGCCTTTCGATGCAGTGAGGCGCGGATTGTGGTTTTTCTCCACGATCCGACGCCTCACGCGTCGCCACGTCAGCGATCCACGCATCACTGCCCTCCTCAATGGCGGTGAATTCACTGCTTTCGACGAAAGCGGTGATTGGCTGAGGGAAATTTCCGGCGCCCCCTTCCCCCTATAAATACCACTCCCCCCCCCCCCCTCATTCCAAACCACACCACCATTTTATACTTCTTTCTCCCTTTATTACTTCACTCTAGTTTCGTTCTAAGTATGCTCTGTGGTTGCGGCTAAGTCCGATCTTCCGCATCAGAAAGAATTACTAGAGTTTTTGTTTTGTCGATACTCTCGCTAGATTTTCGGCAAAAAATGGACGAAGAGGCTTTGAGAGTACGTAAATTTATTTTATTCTTTTGTGATTTTTTTTTACATGGGTGCTAAAATTTAAATTGATTTGATTTCATATTTTTTATAGATGGGTGCTGAGATATACGACCCTCAATTGTATATCGATCCTGGCCCAAGGGATCGAAGGTATTTAACCGGGCAAGATCAACATCGCTCCCGTTCAATTTGGAACAATAATCCGGTAGACACACTAAACTTATTTCAATAGTTTTAAAGTTTTTATTTTGCTTTCTATTGACTGACAATATTGTATTTTTTGTTTTGTAGGAATCACTTATTCCCATCAGTCATCGAGG